ATACAATTATTATTATTATTATTATGTTATTTTTTATTATCCGTGAATGTTAGCAACTGGACAAATTGAATGCAGCGGTCAAGGAAAAACGATCAGAATTGGTCAATCGTAAAGGTGTCATTTTCCAGCAGGACAATGCTAGGCCGCACACGTCTTTGTCCACTCGGCAAAAATTGATGGATATTGGTTGGGTATTGATGTTACACCCACCATATAGCCCTGATCTCGCGCCATCGAATTACCACTTATTTCGATCCCTGGACAACTCCCTTCGTGGTAAAACTTTTAATGACGATGACGCTGTAAAATCTCACTTAACTCAGTTTTTGGCCGAAAAGGATCAGGCTTTCTACGAGCGTGGAATTTTCAAGTTGTCAGAGAGATGGCAAAAGGTCATCGAACAAAATGGAAAATACATTACAGATTAAACTTCATTCTAAGTAAAAAAAAATTGTTTACTTCATTGAACAAATCGGCAATTACTTAGTTGCCAACCCAATAAATATTAATTATGTTTTCCTGAAAACATGAAAACGTTAGTTACATGGTTTTCTTTTAGTCTATCGACCACGAGGAGGAGAGAGTACCTATCTACGTAATGGTCTTTTGTTTTATGCACGTGATATCCACGATGCTACATTTTTTCACTTACTGCTTCGTGGGTGAGATGCTCGTTCGAGAAGTAAGTAACCAGGATATTGATTTCAATCGCTGTACAAGTGAACAAAGATAATAACGAAGATAATAAGAATGAAAGATTTTGTACGGGGTGTCCCAAAAGTCGCTCGCAATCGGGAAATGAAGCATTCCTAAGGTCATTTCAAGTAACTTTTTCCTTAGCGAAAATGCAATCCGCGGCTTCGTTTAGGAGTTATTAACGAAAAACAGTGACCAATGAGAGATCGCGTGCGGCTGACGCCTCGCCCTCGTGACCACTGCTGCTGCGTTAGACGGCCGACGCGACGAGTATTGGTCAAATGGGCGGAGCGCTGGCCGCGCTCGCTCTACGATTGGTCAGTGTTTTTCGTTAATAACTCGTGAACGACGCCTCGGAAAAAATTTTTGTAAAGGAAAAAGATACTTCGAATGACCTCAGGAACCCCTTATTTCCCGATTTCAAGTGACTTTTGAGACATCCTGTGTACATAAAACAAGTAGTTAATGCATATGTTCTAAATTTTAAACTTCTAATCGCGAGCGTTCGAATAAAATTTTGCTGTTATTATATTATACTACAGAATAACATTTTTCTAATTTCTAGAGTACCGGAATTGCTCAGTCAGCGTACGATAGTATCTGGTACGATCTACCGCCGAAACAAGCAGCTATGATGATTATTATAATACATCGGGCAGGAGTGTCGTTAAAGCTAACTGCTGGAAAATTTAGTCCTTTCTCCTTAGAACTTTTTAATTATGTGAGTTACCAACAAAGCGATACAAATAAATACTGTTATAATTTACGACGTTACATGTACTATTTACATTAAGTATATCGAAAAGATCTGCCTTGTTTAAAAATCAATGCTTCACAGAAATTCATCGTTTTATTCCATTTTAGAGACCGTGCAAGCGACACATTTCTGATAACAAAAAATGAAATAGTGTAACATTTTTTATGAATGAAATTTTCTTATGAATTTTGTGTACAGAAGTTTATTTTTTAAAAAATAGATAGTACTTTTCAGTAGTCCTAATATTATTAATGTTTCGCTGTCCTAATATCAAGTCTTAATTAAGTCCTAATATTAAGATATTGAAAGAGTTACAGGAATGTAAATTTTCTTCTAGGTTTTAAAAACTTCCGCCGGATATCTGTCGGTTTTACTGGCAATGAAAGATTAATGCATAAGGATAAGTAACCCTTAATTGATTTCCAACAAGTGTTTTGATATTTTTCGTGTAAATACATAAACACTTATGTATTTCATATAATTGTAACCGGCAGAAGATAAGATTGCATCGTTAACGTCATGATTTACTCACTGTTTCCAAATTTGTTCAATTTTCGGTTGCATAAGCTCCCTTGTATCTTGTGTGTGCAATAAATTATGTCCTCTTGTAACAAAACAAATTCTATTTCTTCTCGAAAAAAACGAACAGTTACGAAGATGGTTGTATGCATAGATTAAAATAGAGCACTCTGTATCGTTATAACTATTCACCTGCATTTAAGAAATTTTAATCAACGTTTCAGTTAATTCGAAATACAGCACATTTTCCCAGTAATTGCGGCTTTTACGATGATCTTGGAACAGTCTAGCTGCTCGCAATGTCAGCGTAAGAACTGAAACGCACATTTCGTAAACGTTCATCGCGACTTTGAGAACTCCTGGTAGCATTTCTTCTCCGCGACCGTTCCAAGTTACGTCTATCAATTAAATGCATGCATAGGAGAGTGCACTTCTCCGAAAGTTTCGGGGTGTCTTCAATAATCGACGAAGTTAGGAGCCATTGCAGGCGAAGTTACAATCGATTGGTAATTTTTTATCATCACGATAGAAGGAAACTATCGAACTACGTGAGAAGCTCCCTCCTATTTGACTTCGTACGCTTATTCAAGGGGGTGGTAACCGACTTTCTTACAAAAAAAGAAAAACGAGCATGCGTCCTTCGAACGAGCCGCGCTTACCAAAAGGCTCTGAAATTCCGTGGCGGTCATTTCGTCGCGTAGTCTTCGCGGGAGTAGTGTCGATGGATTTCGAACGGGGTATGTACTTGAATTTCTAGCTTTCTCGGCGACACGACGATATTTCGACATTTAGCGTACTCAGCGAAACATTTTTTAAATTCCGATCGAAATTTCGAAAAATATGTGCAACGACGTTCGATGATCCGTCAAGTACCAAAATTATGAAACTTCGCACACCGGCGGAGACTCGAGAAAATTCCAACATTTCCTTCATCCCGAAATATTTTAAGAACGGCGAACGTTGTGAGAAGAAGTTGCATCGTTTTATCGTATAACTGTGAAAATAACTTGGAAAACTGTGTAAAAAGATTTGTTGAACTATACACGTTGAAATACCGTCGGACAAACATATCTTTTTTAACGTTGAAAATCATAATCATCAAATGACAAATCAATTGTAGCATTTTATTCTTAACAAGGTGATCTCAAAAAACAATGCAACAGTTTCATTTATTTGCATGAAAGTTATGAATATAAAATTTATTTATACCATTTATATAAACAAACCCGAAGGAATTCCACTAGGTGTAATCCAGTAAATATTTTTCAAAAATAGTAGGCAAAGAAGGCGTATTTAGAACACCATGAATTTAAAAAAGAAAATCGTTTTACACAGTTTCGACTTTCTTTTGTATCATAAAATAACGTAATTGTGCAGGGTGTCCCAGAAATGTCTCGCAATCCGGAAATAAGAGGTACCTAGGGTCATTTGAAGCAACTTTTTCCTCAGCGAAAATGCAATCCGCGGCTTCGTTTACGAGTTATTGACGAAAAACAGTGACCAATGGGAAATCGCGTACGGCTGACGCCCCGCCCTCTCGACCACTGTCGCTGCTAGATGGCCGACGCGACGCGGCATTGTCCGCAAGGGCGGGAGCGCCGACCGCACTCGCTCTCCGATTGGTCACCGTTTTTCGTTAATAACTCGCAAACGAAGCCGCGGATTGCATTTTCGCTAAGGAAAAAGTTGCTCCAAATGACCTCTAGAATCGCCCATTTCCGGATCGCGAGTCATTTTCGGGACACTCTGTATTCATTTACATACAAATTGCCATTGCTTTTCGAGATAGCAGTACACATTACATTTATTCAGTTTGTCATCTCGCTGAAAGATGATATGTATCTACTTTCAGGTATTTATAACGAACTCAAAGAAACGTAATTCGATCAACGAATGTGTTCTTTAATAATGCTCTCCGATATTTCCATAGATTTAAGAGACGCGATTGGGTGGAATCGTTTCAATCTGCGTATAGTTGGCATCTGGCCGGAGCCGGCGATGCTGCACGAACGTATAGCAGATCTTCGTGCATTCGCGTCCGTCTTGTTTATAATGATCTTTGCCACCATATGGCAAAGCGTGGATCTGTTTATGGTGAACAACGACCTCAGTCAGATCACGTCGATCTTGTCGCTGGCCAACATACCAGCATATAATTCGGCCATTAAATTACTTTTCGTCTGGTATTATAGAAAAGGTAAGTCTACGGTATGATCATGGTGTAAGATGGAAAAGTGAATCGATTTCATCCCTACTCCTGTGGTTTTGAAGCTTTTCGTTTGGTATACAGAAAATTCTCCCCAATTCGCGCTTAAATTGAGCACAAAAATGGACAATTTTGGAAGAGAATATGCAATTATTCGAGCCTTGCGGCTCGATTTCTCGTCTTCTCGATCGTCAACAATTATAAAAACGAGACGCTCTCATTTTCCAAACTGTGTAAAACCACTATGTAAAAACCATCAGTATGATCGTGGGAGAACTTTTTCTTATCGCCATCGATGCACCTTAAGCTGGCACCGTCTTTGCCACTTTTCTGCGCCTTTAACCCTTTGCACTCCGCTGTCCCCTCTCGTGGGACATTCAAGTTTATTAGTGATTACGGGGAATTGAGTTATTTCAGCGCAACTTTTTGAGACACGCATGTTTCCCTGAAGTTTTCTCTTGAAGTGGCACAAGAAATCAAATCAAAATATAGTAAAATTACTAAGATATATACAAGAAATGTCAGCGGGTTCTGACGAGAACGTGAGAGGCGTGCTCACGACGGTCCGAGCACTTCAAAGGCGCCACTTGAAAAGAGCGATAAGGCAAATTTGTAGAAGAAAGATCGGTACGCGAACATAGCACGCACTGTATAGTGAGATTTATAATCATAAAATCTGGAGGAAAAGATTTTCAAAGCTGAACTCGGTCTGGTTTGAAGCGTCGAGCGGTATAGATAGATCTAACGAGTGAGAAAATCGGAAAAGTGATTCTTCTCTTGGTAAATAAATTGTTTGGTAATAGTTTTTTTGGTAAATATCATCTTGTGAGTTAGTAGTAACAATTAGAAATTTTCAACCTATGTATTTATTCATATTTTTTATTGGAACAATGGCAAAACGTTCAAACACGAATGAGTCTCATGACACAAGTAGTAATGAAGATGAGCTCCAGGTAGACGTTTATACAGATATGTTAGAAA